CTCTCTCTCTCTCTCTCTCTCTCTCTCTCTCTCTCTCTCTCTCTCTCTCTCTCTCTCTCCCTCTCTCTCTCTCTTTCTCAATTAGTCTTAAAAGACTCTGACTTAAACAACTGCACAACAGGATGACACAGTTGACAAGTTCATCAACTATAGGTCACTGAACTGAAGACTACAAAGGGATTTCAAATTTTGTGTTATGAATTTATCATATACTGCATTTTATCTAATTCAAATATAATATACACCAGCATATATCATATGATTAAATTGGTTATACTTGTAGATATTATGGTTTTGTTATGGAGTCAGAAATACTGTACACTCATTTGACTGAATGTTAATATTCAGCCACAGTACTGAATGTTTTCCATCCACTCAGAACTGGTTGGGCCTGACATGAAGTAAAATTTGTGTAGTTATAAATGTCTTACAGCACAGATAACAGATCTAGACTGTTAACAGCTTCCTTCCCTGTGCTGTGCATATCCCCAGTGTACACGTTGTGGAGAGTACCTGACATGTTACCTTGTCTCACCACCTGGCCACCTGTACTCAAGAACCTCTGTGGAGGGGCAGGTCAGTTGCTCATTTTCTTACATTCTCCCTAAAAAAGACCTGGAAATCAACAGATGACCGTGTTAGCTTAGACAAAAGAGCATCTATAGGAGGCCAAAAGCCCCTGTCACACATAGTCAAATGTGTGACATTATTTCCCATAAACAAAACGTGAGGATATGTATATGGTTTGACAATTGTATAAAGACAGATAATGTACACAGTCTGACACTAGGCATGTACAGTGGTAAACTGTAAACCTGACACTATAAGTAAAGACTAAAACTGGCATTACAAGTGTCACTACTGCATTATTCCTGCCCTGACCTGTAACATGTCACATTCTCCTCCAGACCTGATGTTGCCGGGGGTGATAGAGGGAGAGGAGGGGCTTCCTGAGATTGACAGGAACAAACTGTGTGCCATCTCACTGCTCGGAAACAGGTAACATGATTTGTTTCTACAAATTCTATGACTACCAATGATTTAACCTGATGTAAACCCTAGCTTTAGTTAGAGATATTTTCTCAAATGGGATGTAAAGCATGAGTTTCCACCTGTGAATCATCAGAACAGTCATTGAAATGGTCATTGAACAGTCATCAAGTAGTCATTAAATTTTCATCAAACGGTCACCAAACAAAGGCTCCAGTAAACACGTGGTAGTGAATAAAGATCCTTGCTATTCAGAAGGCTCCATATTTGAGGAGAAACACACCTTGAGAACCCACCACACTCATTCACTGGTTCAAACCTTACAGTCTGTCTAGACTTTGGGTTGGCATCTTGAAAGGTGACGATGTCAATCCTTGTTTGTATGAATAAATGAAAGAATCCTGCCCTGCCCTGCCCTGCCCTGTCCTGTAGAGCTCCAGTTGCCGTAGGCAGGACCACCATGTCATCTGCCCAGATGGTGGAGTGTGGGATGAAGGGGAAGGGAGTCACCGTGCTGCACACATACCTGGACCAGCTCTGGTGAGCAACAATTCTTCATCAGCCTTCACCAGGTCTGCTGAAGGGGGGTTGGATTGTAGAATTTGTCAGAAAATGGGGTGGGTCTGCTGTTAGGGTTTCATTTCCCACACGAAAATGAACTCTATAGTGGCAAAATTCCCCTGGCCAATTAGTCTCCTTATTTTGCAAAATTTTGCTATTTTTCAACCTGCATTCTTATCCTGGTGGAGACTAGATCTATATTATATACTCAAACTCTATCCTTCTTTGTGTTGGAAAACACCTGTGAACTTTTTGGCTAGCCTGCTTGGACTAAGTTTAGTCTTAGAGATAGACCAGTTCACATTCAAGTTTTCTCCTCCTGCACAGGGAACATGGTGACCAGACCCCCCTCCCCACAATGGCTACCCAGCAGTCCTGTCCTGAAGGTCATGCACCTGACCTTGACTCCGGGGACACGACACCTGAGGAACAAAGTCAAGGTGAACTCGGGGCAGAAGCCTCGAGCACCACAGACGCTGTACCGATAGAAAACCTGGTCTTAGAGGACGACCTTGGTGATGAAGGTGACATTGATAAAGGAACTGACCTTGGTGAACAGAACAGTGAAGCTGCTGGAATGAGGGATGATGGGAATGGATGTGAAGAGGAAGAAGTAGAAACAAGACATGAGGAGGAGGAAGAGGAGGGTGTGTCCCCCGTTGGTAAGACTGGCCAATTCATCCTTATTATCATTATCAAAAATGAAATGAGTGGGATGCAAGTTTACTAGTATCTGTGTTGGTAAAATATATTATGAAAATTAAACTGTTCAAGAGAATTCCTGATGGGTCATTTTTCTTGAGTTGGAGAACAGTTTAATTTTCATCATGAAATGAGTGAATGAAACCTTACAGTCCTGTCTTACAGTGCTTGTACTTACTGTACTATAGGTGGTTTACCAGTTATGCAAGATACAATGTACTATCATGAAAGTTCATCTGTGTTGGTAGTTACATGTTTAAAGTTAAAACTTTTGGTCCAACACAAAAAATTCTCTCACCAGTGTTGACGCCACACTTCAAAGAAGCCACGTGACAAGTCTCACTGGGTCAGTCTAATGAGGAAGACCAGAGTGACTGGTCAAAAGCTCTAGGTGAGAGAATTTTTTTGTGTTGGACCAAAAGTTTTAACTTTAAACAAGATACAATGTGTTACATATATCGTGTTCTTTACTTTTTGACCCTTCCCAGACCAGATGGATGCACTACTGTACCAGTGCTTCCTTCATGCCCTGAAGACGAACGTTAAGAAGTCTGACCTCCCGCTCCTCACCAGTAAACTCCTTAGAGGTCACATGCAGCCATGTTGGTACGTTTTACTTCATAGTTTGTGTTAACTCTTTTTTTTTTGGTCGACCTCTGACCTCTCCTATTGATCTGAACTTACTTTATTATTTTGTAATCATCATTATGTACAAGTTTTGTTATTGATGTTTCATTTTATTGACCCCAGGAAGAATGGTGCTTTTAAGCACTAATGGGGATCAAAATGAACAAACTAACAAACAAACTCATTAGAAATGAGTCCCTGGGTGGGATGCCCTAGAAAGGGCTTTGCCCAGTATTATATAGAACTAGAAATATAGATATGTCTATAGGTGTCTGAAATAGCGATATATAGGTTGTATCAGTCTACAAAGTTCAACTCTTTCTTTGTTGTACAGTCTTACATCTGCGTCCATAATATCACCAGGGTCCATAATATCGCCACCTTGAGAAACAGTGTGCTTAAAGATATTTTTACTGCAACATACTTTTGGTATGCAGTCCTGCACACCTCAAATGTACATACCTAGGGTATGTTGCAGTGAAAGTATCTTTAAGCACACTTTTTCTCAAGGTGGCGATATTATGGACCCTGGTGATATTATGGACACAGATGTTAGGTTGTACCGGCTATAAAGTTCAACTCTTTCTTTGTTGTACAGTCTACATTCTACTGCAAAATTGTGTTCGTCTCCTATACTGTTTGTCATAGCCCTGCTGACAAGTCTCTGGACCTAAAGAAGTCAAGTTATAAGAAGGTAAGTTTGATTGTCGAGGGTTTAATGTCTTACATTCCCTTATGCTAAACTTGCCTTTGCATGATTTCACCATGTTTGAAATTCATTTCAGTTGTCCTCACATAAATAGTCTGTTAAACATGGTACTTTCCAGTTCACTCTTGTCATTTTACCAAGTACAAAAATGTAACAAAAATTGGCATATACATTATACAAGTTGGTACTAGTACATGTACTTACATATATCATGATGTAATTCGTAGTGGAGGTTATACTATTGCAGGTTACTGATATCCTTATTATTTGTCTACAGCTAACCAAGTTCCTTCAAGCAATGCAGACACAGAGGTTAATCCAGGTCAAGGAACTGTCCAAGGGGGTGGAGAGTGTGGTGGAGGTCAACTGGGGTCACGAGGAGTAAGATACTTGTAATGTTTGCATTCAAAACTCACAACTTCTTAAAAAGAGTTTTTTGGTGTACAATCTATTTTTTGTTGTTGTTGTCTGAATTTAGTACACTAGAATCTTGGACATTCTTGTATTTTATATCATGATATAGCACTTTCAAAATCCAAATATCTCACTAATTGTGACATACTTTATGACAAAAGTAAATGGTATCAAGGAGAGCATTCTCAAAAGACTGGTGAAACTTAGTTGGTGGTGCCCTCAAAACTTGCAAACTGTGATCAAACTCTTAGTATATATAGAAGACTTCTGTATACTCTCTCAAGGTTGCTTTGACCTTTGCCCTTCCAGGCTGAAGAGTTTTGAGGTCCCTGACATTGAGCTGCCAACAGACAGGGTCAACGACCCGGGAACGGGCGCCGCTCCGACCTACCAGCCTCCTGAGGTCGTGGAGATGTACAGTGTGACAGGCAACCTGGCAGCCCTGTTTAGAACGGCTGGTATTAGGTCAGTTCACTCGCTCACTCACTCACTCACTCACTCACTCACTCACTCACTCACTCACTCACTCACTCACTCACTCACTCACTCACTCACTCACTCACTCACAAACTCACTCACTCTCACCCACCCACCCACACTCACTCACTCACTCACTCATATAAGTACAAACTATTTAACACTATGATTTGTTAAAAGTTGTTTGATGTAGAGGCCCCTATTGTGATTGACAATAAAAAATAGATTGATAAGGGTAGAATAGAGTTTTAAAAGCCATTTATTCTCCAATTCTCCAGGGAAGCCACACCTGTTTTGGCCACCAGGTTGAGGAGTTTTTTTTCTCAATCATTTTGTTGTCTGTATTTCCAGGAAAGGCGAGGCCTTGTCTGGCCAGCAGGTCCGTGAGTTCCTGACTCAGTATGTGAAGGAAAATGAACTGGCAGATCCCAACAACAGAAGGTAAATATGAGTGTGCAACTACAAAATCCACCCTGGCCTTTTCCTTACTTCATTCCCAAGACTTGTCCATATCTATATATGTGTGTTTCCGAAACTTTTATGATACACATAACATACATGTGCAACTACAGAAAACACCTTGTCCTTACTTTATTCCCAAGACTTGTTCATCTACATGTTGTATATGTGTGTTTCTGAGACTTGCATGATACACATGTACATGTACAGGGTTTGAAATACCCACTCTTGAAGCAGAAGTCATGTTCTCTGTGTGAGACTTATTGGAGACACTAGAAAGCCTGGTGTGTAAGTTATCAGTTTTGCATACAAAGCAACCTTTTAGAGTTACTAATAAATGTTCTTTTGTTCTTTGTCCTAGGTTTGTAGTTGTTGACCCGTTGCTGTGCGACGCCTTAAGACAGAAGGGAGAGGACTTGACTCATCTTGCCTGGGAGGACCTCTTCACAAGGTAAGGCACTCACTGACAGGTGCTCGTATTATCTCCATCAAGCTGTGCCAGCCCGGAGTGTAAAGTTTGATCCACACACACTGGCATGGCTTGATATACTAGTTGAATGTGCAGGTTAAATTGTAGCCTCCATAGCATGCCAAAAACTGGGGGTTTTGGGGGTCTTCAGGGTCTTTTATGTGCTATTTTCTGATTGCATATAGACAACATAGCCGGCTTGGTTGAATTACCTTTTTTTTTTTAGAACTGGACTAGTCAGAAAACAGCCGAAGACCACGAAACCCCCAGTTCTTTAAGCCTGCTACAGAGGCTAGTGAATTGGAGCTGTGTAGATATTTCTGAGGTCTACCAGCACGTGTAGAGTTTTATTTGCTGCATTGACTGTTGCCAGTGGTGCAGGTAAAATTTGACCTGAAGTCTGCCATCTTTCATAGGCTATCAGTGTGGGTAAGGCCTAGGGGGTGAAGTCTACCCTCTCTGACATTTGGCGTGCTGTCGGTGGCGCAATGGTTAGAGCATTGTGTCGATACTCACCGTGGCCCAACATTGTGCCCTTGGGAAACGCACTTAACATGACTTCCCCAACTGTACAGTGGAGTGACGCCCACCGAGCCTCTTAGGCTAATTGTCTATCTGGGTGCCAAAAACACCCTACAGATTTGGTGCGCCAATTTGTCAACATCAGCGCATTTGCGATCAAGAGCCGTTAAAATTTTTTTTTTCTCTGAGTCTGACATTTCCTACTCTTCCCCCGGCCCCACAGGTGTTGCGATAAGATGTCGCCGTGTACCCAGCTCATCTTTCCCGGCCAGCCGCCAGTCCTGAAGAAAGGCAAACTGGAGCCGGTTGACGTTCAAGTTCAGCAGAGGTCCGGCAATAAGAAGGTAACGTAGGGGTTCACATCCCATCTTTCTCGAAACTGGTCACTTCATAAAATTCAGCAATGTTCCAAAATCTGAGAATTTGAAAGCATGGTGTTTTGGAAATGACAACTTGATTCCATAACATGTGATTTGTATTATAGGACTGTATAATGATGTTACCCGGTATACCTGGACGTCTTATATATTCACCAATGAATGTAAAGGCTATGTATGTTTTCATCATCGGCAGTAGCTCGTTTCCGAGCATAATTGTTCATGTCATATTCGTGGGCCCTCACTTGTTGGGATGTCTATGCCTTGTGTGGCTGCTTAAACCTAGCCTGGTATGAAAGAGTTTGTGGCATTTTCTGCATGGCAGGGTAGGAGGTGGGAGCGGGCAGAGAAGACGCTCCTTGAGGTGCTGTCTGTCGTTGTAGTATAAAACCCTCAAAACCTTCATCTAAAACACGTGACTTCACCTGTAACCTTCACCTGTCCATCTCACCTGTGCAGGTGACCCTGATCTACAACCTGGAAGGTTTTGGGATCCGTCCGGACGCCTTTGCGCACCTGTTACAGCTGCGGGTTCAGGCGAGCACGGCTGTGAACCCAGCGCCGAACAGGAAGGCAGGTGTGCAGGTCATGGTCCAGGGCAACCAGGTCCACACCGTCGCCAAGCTGCTCATAGGTATTCTTATCCTCTACATTGTTTGTGAGACATAAGGCCATGACGTTTTCCTTCCTTCTGGGTCTGGCCATCTTTTTTGCTGATCACTAAGATAAGATACTAGTACTAGTAGTCAAATGGCCACCAGTTCTTCTCCACGTGGGTCTGCCTCTGTTTCTGGTCTGCCCGTTTTCTCTTTGGGTCTCCGATTTATATCTTTTGGGGTGTTAAAACTGTTTCTTGTCCTCAGATCATATTTCCACTCTGCATGTTTCTATGTACAAAATACACTATTCCTGTGTGTGATGTCCTGCAAATTAACATTCGATACGATGATGTACCTTCTTAGTGGTGCACCTAAATTTTACTGGTGCGCTCAAATTTTTTGTGTGTTGTTTTCAGATGAGATGAAGCTACCAAAAAAATTTGTCCAAGGGGTTGAAAAGGCTGGCAAGAAGAAGAGATGACGACACTGCACCATTTGGTAGAGCTAGGGAAAGAAGTCTTCATCTTTTGTGTTGTGTTGCAATACCGGAAAGAGCTAACAAAAAGAGAACTACAATGCATGTGATGAACTGCATATCATAAATGTTTTCAAATGAAATAATAAACAAAAGTCCTAAGTTACAAGTGGTCTTCCTTGTGTGTTTTGTAAGTGAACTTAAAGTCTACTCAATCAACTAATAGTCTTCTCTATCTTAGTAGTTAAAGTACCATCATTAGGTCAACATCAATCAATAACGATCCAAAAATGATTTGGGTGTTGTTATCCAGTTTAATAAATAAACAGAGTATAATGATATTCGAAAATAAACATGGTCATCATTCCCAACCAGAGCACCATCTCAGGTCCTTTCCAACAAATGAACATCTTTTAAACCCATTTGAGTACAAACATGAGCATTTTACTGCAATGCACCATTGGGTAGCTCAAACTGGAGCCATCACTTGGATTAAATCTCTACCATATGTTCATTCTAACAGTGTAAAATATGGACACCACTTAAAGTCTTAAACTAGCTTACGTTGGAAAGGTCTAATAATTCAACTTATTGCTTGTGGCAAACCATGGGAATAGTCACAAAAATGTTATGTTACTCCAGTCTACAAACCATACGTCTACTGTGTTTTCAACATCTACAAATTCAGTACAATGTTTTGTGTTTACCTTAGGTATGTTTTCTTCCTACAGTTTCTAGCATTCCGACATCACAAGTTAGACAATAATACAAAGTTGTAGCCTGTTACAAGACACTATAAACACTGGAATGTGATATAAAGTCTACCATCACAAGCACTACTATACAAAAGCTAACATACCACAGTTACTGTGGATAAAGCTACCATAAAAACACATACATTGCAACCATACAAAAATAGCTTTGGGAATATTCAAATTCGTTCTACCTTCGTACACGAAGCAACTATCTGGATTAGAAGAGTTCATTTACTGTACAAAATTATCACGTGATAACGCAGAATACGTGGGGAAAAGACAGGCAGCAATGTAACTTCATTACACATTAACAAGCCTTGCTACTAGTTATTGAGAATTGTTAAATTATGCAATAATGCTGGTGATACAAATGCAAAAGTTTCATACAAAATGACGATTAACGGGTCTTAAGCATTACAACTGACATACTTGGTACAAAATCACGACAATGTGCTTTTTCTTCTGACCTCTGGACATGTGAATTTTGTCGACTTGTTTTTAAATTTCAGCAACATAACAAGACATGAGCTTGGACCACAAGACCACAACTGTCCACTACACTCTGACAAAGCCGACGTGTGTGAAGCTCTTTCTCTGTACAGACATCAGGACTGCAAACCTGTCGTTCCTTCTCTCCCTCGTATCACATGTTTAAATCTACATACATCAGCATTTATACACAAGTTGTGTGGAGGTGGTACGGCCGACACTAGTACACAACACAAGTTGTACTGCATTCTCAATCCCCCTTTTTAAACCACTCAGGGATACATACGTGTACACTTGACAGCAGTTATACCAGACTATACGTTTCCCAGTTGACGTTGTACAGATTCACATACACCATGAAAAGACCCCATAAAACCTAAGACAGCACCAATATTTACAAGTGGAAATGCCGACAACTCACACAAATGACAAGTTGCCCCCAACCACCCCGAACCGTGAGTCGGAACCATCCTCTACTCGTTCTTGTGACAATAGAGGTCTTTTAGCTGTTTCAGTTCCTCAATCAGAGCCTTGTTTTGCTGTTCAAGTACAGCCACGCGATTTTCCAGACACTTCACATACTCTTTCTTCTTCTTCCGGCACTCCCTGGCTGCCACTCTGCACGGTTAACAAGAATACGAAACATGTCAGGATATTTGCGTCTCCCCAAACGTGTGCACAACACACAAACCCTTTCTCTACGACAGTGGACATGTGGATGGATAGACTTCAAGATTTTTTCTGTTGTCTTTTTGCACCAAAAAATGCTAACTTTTCTTTCTTTCCCTTCTCGGAAGTACAAAATCCTACGGCTACTCTGTCTCTGTCTTGTGACAATAGAGCTCTTTGAGGGACTTGAGCTCTTCGATGAGGGTTTTGTTCTGCTGTTCCAGGACGGCCACGCGAGTTTCCAGGCATTTGACGTACTCTTTCTTCCTCCGTCGGCACTCTCTTGCTGCCTCTCTGTTGGTCGACCAGAAAGGTGAAGCAATATTGTAAGAGTCCGAATAAAAACGCTAAAGAGCTTGCAGCGAACAGGAATTTTTCAACAGTCTAGAAAGGCCATCATTGGTGTTGAAGCATTGCAAAGACGAAACGAGCTAATCAAGAAACAAACTTAAGAAAAATTAAAAAGACATTGTTATTACAGGAGATTGGCAAGCAACACGGTTAAAACCTCAGCTGAGAGGGAGCAAAAAACAGCTTGGGAAAATTCCTTCAAACTCGTCAAGACAACGTTTGAGGTTAAACAGAGGAGACTGCGTATTGTCGTGAGACACATGTACATGTGCTTCTATTTCTGGTTAACAAATAAACATTTTCCACAACCAGCAGCTGCATTAAAATTAAGACAATTATAGACAGACAAAAAAGGCACCAGAGCTTTCCAAGACCCTGCCAAAACTGATTGAAGGAGTCTTGAGAAATTTTCCAAGACCCTGTTCAGACTAAGACTGTTTCAACGGTTAAGATGGGTTTTCAGGAGAATTCTGGGTTTTTGAAGACGAACCCAGTTTGCTTCTAACTTGTTTTGGAGGTCTTAATCTAAACAGGGTCTGTCAAAGTTAGTCAAACATGTATTTTGTTTGCAAGTTCACACTTGTTAATTCTGTTCAGTTCATGAGGACAGGAGGCAGAGTGCTGGAAAGTACCGGGTCTTTACAACAATTTTACATTTACAATAACTGCTAACATGTTACCTGAGGGCCAGGTTGGGCACATATGTGGGAGTACTGAAAAAGTACAGACCATTTTTTTCTAAGTTAGACGTTTTTGACATATCTGAAACGTTTAGTAGATACTTTTTTTTCTGAACAAGAGACAAACAGCAGGGTGATTTGAAACCATTTGCAGCAACTTTTTTTTCAAACTGGTAAAACTGATACAGTTTTAACTTAAAAGTGCAATGAAATATCAACTGGATGTATGCTGAACGAACCAAGCTGCTGGGAAAAAATTCTTTTTTTTTTCAGTTCTCGTTAGTTATAATAGGACAGGTGTGCCCATACTGTAACACATCAGGTAACATGAAAGCAGGCAGATATAAACGAGAAGATGTAGGGAATCATGGACCTGTTTTTGTACCTGTTCTTCATAAGTCTCAGCTCACGCTTCCGCGCTGACTCCTCGGCCAGCTGCTGGGGGCTGGTGATGCCGGTGGGCGTTGCCATGACGACCCCGGCTGGAAGCGAGGACGGCGCTCGGATCTGGTAGGCCTGGACCTCGCCGGCTGGAGAGATGGAAACTGTCGTTTTGAGAGTGAGATGGCCGCGCTCGAAAGCAGCTCAGCAAGGATCGAAAAACAAAGTAACGCAAGACGACAGCAAGGGACAACACTGGTCACTTTAGGTTTAGAAAAACCAGAGGAATTCAGAAGTGTTTAAGACCCAACAATATGATCTGACAAATGGAAGCTTGTTTCAAGTTTGCAAAACAAAACAAATGCCATGAAAGTGACCAAACATTAATCACCTATTTTTTCTATTTGTCAGACCAATTTTCATGTGTTTTGGATGCCTAACTTCGAGGTCAGATAAAATATGTACGAAAGTACATATGCCATGATGGTCCCCAAAAGATGCCAAGTCTTTATAAGCTCAATATTGAGCAGGATGCTATTTTAGATGGTAATTTGTAAACTCTTTTGTACATCCAAAAAGAAATATAGGATGTTACAAAATGTAATGTAGGATTTGTTACCTTTGAGATTTTTCTAACTGTAAGTGACATGTGTTGTAATATAAAGCATTACAGGCAGGAGGTAAGGGTTGCCACACCAACTTGGTTAGTAATAATTTCAAACCACTCCAATTTTTTTCAAATTCTTTAAATGGTGAAGAGATGAAATAATATGTACACTCCACATCAAAACATTTCCTTCTTATAAACCGGTAGCTTTCAGCACAGCACAATACATTAACATACCACTTGCACAAACTCATCATTAGCAATATTTGTACATCAGATCATTTTCACTCGCTTGTGCATACTATCGCAAGCCAGTTCAACTTTCTCTTTCTTGGACTGAATTCCTTTTAAGATATGGTAAGGTCAAATATATGGTTTTGAATCTTATCTTAACCTTGAGGCTATTCTCATTTTGAAGGTCATCTGTTTCAGTCTTAAAAGGAATTCGAACTTACACACATGGGAAATTTTGAAGACAGGTCACTGTGTAGTATTTACAGGAAAAACTTCATGTTTTTAATAGAACTTTTTCTCAATTCTTAAAAAAAACAAATCCTGGCCACATGATCTACCCTTCTTACGTGTAGCTTGCACTTTTAGTGGTAATGCACATGTAACTGTAACGTGAAGGTCGCTGAGAGGACGTCTTTTGAAACAAAACCTCAGTTTCACTACAAAATGTTTCCTGGTGATATGGCCTATAGGGTCTACGTGCATTAGCGGTAGTCTGATGTGGCAAGGACAAGTATGTCCATTAAACACTGAGAGATTTGATGTTGATTCGCAAGCCGGAATGTGGGAGAGTAAGTGGGAAAGCACTTGGCCTTTAGTTCAGTGGTTTCCTTCCTCCGTTTAATGCCTCAGCTTCACGTGTTTCTGGCTACTACAAACGTTCTTTAATGTCAACAACCCTGAGGAATTTCACTACCTTTTCTACTCAGGAAATGAGCTTCAAGTTTCAAATTTTGTGACGTGCGAAATAAAAATCCATGGACCGTTTTCAGGAAATGATTTCTAACAAATGATATATACCCACAGTCTTCTCTTGTCAGGGCTCAAAATACTGGGTGCATGTGCACCTTAGTGCACCCAAATATTTTTGTAGGTATTTTTGTACATATTAAAAGTATACCAAAAGTAATGGTGTACAGGTTGTTCTTGGTATCAGCAGCATCTTGGCAAGTGTCAGTAAAATAATGAAATCTTAGTTGTAGTACTTGTTTAAGATTTTTAAGTTACCTTCCATTTCAGATTCAAGCTTAGAAGAGGAACAGTAAGATCTGTAATTAGGTTTTGTTTTATATGGTGCACCCAAAAATTTTTTTGTGCACCTAATTTTTTTAGGTTGGGTGCACCAGTGCACCTATTCCCAAAAATGAATTTCGAGCCCTGTTTGTGCTATACTTCAGCTTGAAAAAAAAGTTGAAAGCTCAGGTATAATCAATCAAGAGGGTTTCAAAACATGGTTTCAGCAGCAAACCCACCTGGAACAGTGACGAACTGTTGCGATCCGTCTCCCTGTGTGTACTGTACGATGGTGGTGCCGGCTGGCATGGCCGCTGCCGTCACCGCGCCCTGGCCCGCATTCGTCATCGTGATCGTCTGCAAGCCCTGCGTGGTCAGCTCATTCTGGTTGGCCGCCGCAATCTGAATGGTTTGCCCCGCTGTCGTTGCAAAAAAACAAAAAACAAGGAGGAAACATCAGTTACAAGTTAGACACTGCACTGTCTATTTAAGTTGAAAAGTTTTACACCAGGTAGGTATCATATGCGTTACTCTAACACCTCCACTTTCCAGTGGAAGAGACTTGATTGTTTGGGGAAAGGTACATTTTGTAGAATAAAAGTAAAACTAAGTCGAGTAAGTGTTTGGTCCACAAATCAGGCATTCCATCTACACAAATGGCTAAAAGGCTTGGAGAACTTGGTCACGGATCCCTGCCACAGCTTGCATTATATTGGAGTTGAAGAACAGATCATTGCTCTGGATCACTGCTCTACTGCCAAGGATGGAACAAGGGGGCTCTTTTCTGCTTAGTCTTTTCTCAGGCAGCCCTCTTTCCAGTCCTTCTTTCTGTCGGTTTGCCATTTCCACAAGCCACCCACGCCCGGACTTCTAAAAGATAGGTCACCCTCACCCGAGTACATTTCGACCTGAATGAAATTTTTGGACGAAAGCACGGCGCTTTGGGCCCTTTTCCTCCTAAAGACCGTCCTCTTTTGTGTGAATACGTCAAGATAATTGTTGTCATCACAGAGACATCGTAATGGTCTCTTGAAATAGGGTCTTGAAATAGGGTTTGATGGTGGAGTGTCTTCAAATAGGGTCTAATAAAGCTTTTTATTTCTCAAGTGGCTAGGGACGATCTGAATATGTCTGAATGAAAACCTTTCAATAGCACCTTTTGGTGAATGGTCTACACCAGAGCAGCGAGGCACGTGTATTTTCAACCTGACATGTAGTACTCATTCAGCCTCTGGCTTTACGTATTTCACTGTCGCTGATTTTCAGCTTTGACGCTATAAAGCACTCCATCCACTGCTGTAGGCTGGAGTGAACAGCACGCATTTGGAGTCAAGACTATTCCCAGTTTTTGTGAAGCAAACACTTGAGGCCCGGAGCACATGGTGAATTGATGAGGAATGTAACCCACGAATGCATGCTTGAAATGCTTTTTTTAACTCAACATGTTACCTTGACTGTCAGAAATTTTACCCGACTGAAAGGCAGGAAAACTTAGCAAGTACCCAGGCCAAATCCCTCTGAGTCGGACCCTGCCCTTCCAAAACCACTTTCGACAAATAAAGCCTTCTTGCAACCCGGGCTTTTGTGACTGCAAGTAGCTGTGGCTGCATGACTGTTCCTTGCTCTTTTCTGAGCTGGTACATGTTCAAGTAGTTGGCGCAACAACTATGCTATGCATTTAAGCATGGTTAAAAAGAAGAAAGAGAAGAGTTTGCCAGATGACGCAGTGTACAAAATACTTTTTTGAAGCAGGTTACCCAGTGGGCAATCTATGGCAAAATTAGGTTGCCCATCAGAATTTTAGGTTGCCCCACCTATAAGTTACTACTTTCCTAAAAAAAAAAATCTTAAAATCAAGGTAGCACACTGGGCCACCTTGGTTCAAAAATAGGTTGCCCCAAGTAAAATTTGGTTGCCCAGGGCAACCGGGCAACCAGGTATTTTGCACGCTGTGACGTGACTGACCACAGTAAGCTCCACGTAGGCAGTGACACAGCTGGGCTACAAATATCACTGGTGCCATTAACTTAAGGCCCACACCATGTCCATTTCAGGGAGGGTAAAACAAAGGTAAAGGTTCCATGGCCTTTTTGAGCCTGTGGGGGCAGTAGGTTGTTAATCCA